CCTTTGGGGAAAGCTGGAAGAAAGACTGACACCTGGCAGTGTAGTAGGCTCCTTCCTCAAGGGGACCTGATCACCCCTTTATTCAAGAGCTTGTGGGTCTATAAACTGGATCAAGTCTGGGAATTGATTGAGTGGCTTTCTCTATTCCGGCGATTCAAGTTAGAATGATATTCAGTTGACCTAGAATTCTTCCATTTGACCTAGAATTCTTCCTTGTGTGCAAGCCAAGTAAATATTTAGTAGGTTTCCCATCTATGTCACTCCTAGAGACACCCTACCCAATTAGCCAAAACCATAAGTCCACACGAATCAGACTATTTCTGAGTACTACTTTGATTCTGCTTATCCATTACACCCACCCTGTCTTTGTCAGTTAAGTGCTACCACTTGGCCCCTACCACCATCAGGTTCAATAAGTTCCATTGTGATTTGGTGTCTTAATTCAATTAGAGCAGTTACCACTGTCGAATAAGACTTACATAATATAGCAATCACAACAGTCTTCAGGAATACTGAGGCTCTCTTCAAAAATTTATTCCTCACTGTTGTGGTAAAAAGTGTATCCTCTGGGCACTCCATATGTGGGTTTATCTTGATAAATCCACGCTAGCATGTCAATTTCCCAAACTCTTTGTATTCCTTCCTCTACAGAATACCAAGGCAGGTCTCTTACTTCAATTTGATATTGTAGGCCACTGCGAAATCCATGCTTCAGTGACTCAACCAAATAAACTAGTAGATCCTCTCCTAACCTCTCCAGCTGAAACAGTGAGTGAAGAACCTATGCTTAGTGGGCTCATATCAAACTCAGAATGCTCCAACCCTGTGTTCCTTGCACCATTAGCCCACAGTTATTCTCCTGGCTTCTGCTTGCACATATTAGAACAGTCAAGCATTACTTGTAGAGTGTAGCATTCTTCTTGGGACACGATTTGTACTTCACATTTTGGGGCTCACTGGGACTTAAGTCTAGTTATAGGTCTAAAAGTACAGCCAGAATGCTCTTTAGAAGCCACGATGGCGAGACTTCATCTCTCACACTTTGGATGGGGCCAGTCCCTGGAGAAGAGCATCATGCTTGGTGATATTGAGGGTCATTGAAAAAGAGGAAGACACTCTAAGAAGATGGATTCACACAGTGGCAGCAGCAATGCGCTCAAAGGGTAACAATTGTGAAGAGAGAGCGAGGACTAGGCAGTGTTTCGTTCTGTTGTGCATAGGGTCATTATGAGTTAAAACAGATAGCACCTAACAAGAACAATAAGTTAGAAGCAATAATTAGTGGAGGTGTTTCCCTGGAGCCATTCAGCCATGTCTTGCCAGACATCTGCCTTATGTTATGCCCCAGACAATGCCTTAAGCATCATCTCAGCAGGCACAGTTGGGTTGATCTCATCAAGTGTGGGCAGAGGGGATACTGGTTTTACTGATAATGGATCAGCAGACAAAGATGGAGTAATCCCTTCAGATGGGAAGGGGGGGTGCTGTTAGCAAGAATGGGTCAGTGGAATTTATGAGCTCTATGTCTCTAGCTTCCTTATTATCTTCCCATTTGCCCCCATACCAAGTTTCAGGATCCTATTTCTTCCCAACCAATGCCCTCACTTTAGCATCAGACAGCAAGCCAGGTTGGGAGCTAAGCTGGTGTTGTAATTCAGCCACTGCTGCAATATGACTCTGAGTTTGGTTTTCAGCATTATCAGCTCTGCTACTATAGGAAATTAGGCTTTTTTTTTTTTTTCAGGGCAAAGTGGAAAGTTTTAGGTATTTTGTGTAACACTTGAGCTGTGACTCCTTAGGTCTGAATACCTCTTTCTTTTACCAGTTGCTCTATTGTAAGTAGGATCAACCAACCAGCTTCTCTATACTTCTCATCCTGACAGAATTGCACAAAAGTATCATACACACTAAGGTTGATGTCTTTCAGGAGTCCTGGTGTGATGCTGCAGGTTAATGCACTGGACTGCAAGGTTGGTTTGAACCACAGGGTCGGCGGTTCGAGTTCACCAGCCTCACCTTGAAAACTCTATACAGGCTCGCTATGAGTCGGGACCAGCACAATGGAACTTAACAGCAGCACCATATACACAATCACCCAGAGCCTTGTTTCTCTCCAATATATGATCTTTTGGTGGTGATATTTTGTATATCAATATTGCCACCTCACACCATAGATTAGCAGCACACTAACCCTCTACTAATATATATATTGATATTGTTAAGTGTTGTTGAGTCAGTTTCGACCCATAGCGACCCTGTTTAGGGTTTCTGAGGAGCAGCTGGTGAGCTTGAACCACCGACCTTGCAGTTCAAATGGCTTTGCAGTCTGGTTCATTAGAGAGAGAGAGAGGATTCTATCAAAGAAATGGCTCCCAATTGTAGAAGTGGGAGAATCTCAAGTCCGGGTCAGATGACCCAAGATAGGTCGAGTAGGTAAAGGCAGGCTGCTGACCAGGCCACTGACCCAAGTCCAAAGAACCAGTGGTCAGAGGACAATCCAGATGCAAGAATCACACCCAGCAGAAAAGCAAACAAGCTTTTCCTGAGTGTCCAATATATTGGAAACAAACCACACCCCCAAGGAAACAACTTTTGCATTGATTGGCTTCTCATGGACAATCATCATTGATCTCATCATGGGGGTAGCCACATCACAACTGCCAAACCAGTGAGAAAACTGACCCAGTCAAGTTGACCCCCCCAAATTAACTATAACAACAAAGTTGATCATTGTTATTGTGATTGAGAAATGTCCATTAATTGGAAATACACAAATCCCTTTTGCCCCCTTTAATAATGGCCCAATAATAACATCTCATTCCCGGCCCCTTTCTCATTGGAGAAAAAAGCATGACTATTCATTTTCTTCCCAATCATATTGCATGGGTTCCATAGAAGCATCACTAACAGTTCACCAATGGGACAGAATCCAAATGCCTGATGTTGGCATGCAGTCTAATTAAATGGACAATAATTGGTCAGTAATTCAAGTGAGTATTCAATCTGTAACAAGATTGTGTGATATAGATATAAGCACTTTGTATGAGTTCTGAGAGAGGAAGGGTATTCAAGAAGGAAATGGTAGTCTGGAAATGTTAATATTAGAATCCCAGCATAAAGGTAAAAGTTGATGCTCTTGGAGTTATTGCTTATAGAGTATTGAGTTTAGGTTTACAGCAATGGAAAGATCACATTAAGGGTAGGGTTACATAGTCAATTCGTGTAATTGATGTCAATAAGTAGTATACCTGTCAAAGGCAGAATTGGTAAAAGTTATGTGATAAATAATACCCACAATGACTTAAAAAAAAAAAAAAAAAAAAAACTGCTGAAGCTGCTTACTTAAATACAGCCAAATTATGGTGCTATGGGCTAATGTGTCAGACTTCAAAGTTGTTTGAACTGCAAGGTCAGTGGTTCAAGCTCACCAGCTGCTCCTTGGAAACCCTATACAGGATCGCTATTTGTCGGAATTGACTTGACGGCACTTAACAACAACAACAACAACAAATGCCTCATGGAATTTGATTCCTTGGTTTGGAGGCTTGGGGTCATGGTTTCAATGGGACATCCCAGTTAATTGTCCTAGTAATGTATTTAGTATTTCTGTTCTACCTTCAAGTTTGTTGTGTAGTGCCTGGGGTCCTAGAAGCTTGTAAACCACCATCCATATAAAGGCACAATTGGTCTTTATTCTCTTGGAGCAACAAAGGAAGAAAGAGAATCAAGAATCTGAGGAGGATATGGAATGTGTGGCTAATTGTCTCCGTGAACAACTATTTCCTGTGCCATGAGAACAGAAGAACTGGATGGTACCCAGCTACTATTACAGAACGTTTTGATCTATGATTCTGTAGAAGAGTTAAAAGGCAGAAAATGCAGAACAAAATGTCAAATTCTCATGGACTTCGGTCTCTCTGCGTGGGGAGCATGGTGGCTCTTTGGAGAACGTGGTGGCTCTGTAGGATAAGTGCACTGGACTACAAATCACAAGGTCAGCGGCTCCACGCCAGCAGTTATTCCTCAAGAGAAAGATGAGGACTTCTTCTCCCACAAAGATTTACAGCCCCGGAAACCCTATAAAGGGTTACTGTGAGTTAGAACTGAATCCATGGCACTAAAGAACAACACCACGAGACTGGATGAACCCCAAAAACTATTGCCCTGAGATAAGCTTTAAGCCTTAAACCAAAAATATCTCCTGAAGTCTTCTTAAAACCAAACAGTACTTTCACTTAACTAGTAAAGAATGTCTGCTTTAAGCATTTTGCTTTGATTAGATCTATCTATATGAGATACTATTGACAACAACTTGATATTAGTTAGGAACCTTAGGGGGCAGTTGATGTTAATGAAGGAGGAATAAGTTAAAAAAAAAAAAAAAAAAAAGAGGATGTGAATGGTTACACAACTCAAGGATTGTAATCAATGTCACTAAATTGTATGTGTAGAAACAGTTGAGTGGATGTATGTTTTGCTGTGTATATTTGCAACAACAAAAAAAAAAAACTGTTCTAGGCTGTTCCTTAGTTTAGCCTTGCTTTCCAGCTTCATCCCAGCTCTCTCAACTGGCCGGCACATATTCTAAACCCTGACAAGCACAAATACAGTTCCCAGTAGTCACAAGATGGATCGTTTCAGTTATCTTCAACAAAGGTGATTCATTAAATGTGTAACTCAAGGTTGATTTAATTGTTATAGTTGCGTAAAAGTTTACTATATACAACAAAGCATATGATTTGTTGAATGTAAAACTGATGATCTACTCTATAAGCCTTCATTTAATTCACAATAAAAAAATTTTTAATCTAAAAAAAAACTTTATTATACATAAATTCACAAATCAAAAGAAATTACTTGCCAGGCCACGCTCACCAACTTTTGGTTTAGGAAGTATGATTTCCATAATTATGCAAGTCGTCTTTTCTCTCTGCCATCCTCCTTCTGTTTCCTCCTTGCTTCCTTCTGTTTCCTCATTTCTCTTCACGTCTCTTCCCCAGCCTCTGGTGCTGTTGATGGAGTGGCCGGAAGCCACCAACTTTGCCTGCCTGATTGCCGGGTACTGCCGCCTCTTACTGGATTCCAGGAAGATGGTCTTCTCCAGGCCTGCTAGCCAGCCTCTTCCACCTCCAATGATCAAGGCAGGTAGGGCTCAGCCTCGGTTTTCAGTGTACCGAAGGCCCTTTGGACCCTGGAGAAATGTGGGGAGGAGCTCTGCTTCCTAGTACTTACTCCATTCTGACAGCACCTGGTTTACCAAGAGCCGATGCTATAGCACTGCATTCTACCTGGCTCAACCCAGTGGAAAAGACAGCTGGCCTTCAGATGTGCCTGTTCCACAAAGGATGCCTATGACATTATTACTGTGATTGAGCTTGTGAATGAACGAAAGATAAAAATAGCAAGCAAGTGATAACTATAGCCAATTAAATAATTGTATTGGATCTAAGGCAGATTTTATAGGCACAGTATCTAGGGAAGAATCCTGAGTGGTTTTGCTTATCTGAGTAGAATTGGAAAAAGTTAAAACCATTCTTTTGCTCATCATAAGGAGATTGACAGAGCTTTCTGAAATAAATAAACCATAGCAGGCTGAGGTAGGAAAGACTATGCAGAGTCAAAGTACAGCCTGGCAGCAGGTTTGGAGATTGGAAGATTGGGAGATTGTTCACAAAGAACAATTTCAAAACACAGCCCCTAACAGAAGGCTTCCCAGCTAGGCAACTCAATATAGCTGTCCCTCAGAACTTTGCTGATGATGGCACAAACAGGGGCTTTGGAAAAATTTGCCCAGTCTAAGTAAGCACTACTGCCCAAAACTAAAACAGAAGGGAAAGGAACAGACAGACACTCCAATAGTAGACCTAAGATGTCTATATATGTACTGCCCCCACACCGGCACCCAAATATAATGGTTGAAGCCAAGACTTTTCACCCCACAATTGCCCTTCTCATTGAAAATTTTCAATTCACTTGCCCTTGCTGCTTGACTATTTATTTCTTCTTTCGTCAACTGTCTTGCTATTCAGAATCATCACATCTCATCTTGATTGAGGTGCTAGAGAGCAGAAACACACTCCCGATGGATGGTCCAACACCCAGAGGGCTGTTGTACCCCCACTTCCTTTCACTTCATTGTCTCTTCATTATGAGCACCTCAATGACAAACCCAGATACATCTCATAACATGGTCTACAGGAATTAAAAGACAATCCACCTGTGTTTGGAAACATCTAGGTGACCCCAAGACATAGGAAGGAAGCTTTAGAGGAAGCAAAGGAACTGACTTGGAATAGGAATAAACTGGGGATGGAGGGGGTGGGTGAGATGTTCCAAGTATCCTAGTGAATAGCTCTCATATAGTGAATAGTCAGCCATACCATAGAACCTAAAAGAATGGTCAAATGTCATGTATTACTAGTGCCTTCTTTGATTGGTCCACCTCTCTTTATTCACATCCATGTAAATTATACTCTTACTGAAGAGGATGTAGGTGCCCTTGAAGTGGTTCTCACTAATAGTACCCTATGGACAACAGAATGAAACACTGCCCAGTCCTGTGCCATCCTCACAAGTGTTGCCATGTTTGAGCCCATTGATGCAGCATGGTGTCATTCCATCTCTTTGGGGGTCTTCCTCTCTTCTGTTGACCCTCCATTCCACCAAGCATGATATCTTTCTCCAGGGACTGGTACCTCTTGATCACATGTCCCAAACACAAGACTAAGTCTCACTCACCATGGAGAGGGAAAAATGGAAAAGGAAAGGCAGAAGGAAAAGTCTGACACCCAGCTAATAACCAAATGTAGAAGTAGAGGTTGTTTGGGAGAATCCGCTGTCAAATCACACCTAGGATGGCTCTGCACTCCAATTATGCCTGGCAAAGGGTTTGCTTCTTCCCATAAGAGACAGTACTGGACAGTGCAGCCCCCTAGATATTACCCTAGTAGGAGGACAGTGGTACCAGGTAAGAGACACAGGCTTCAAACTCAGCCTTTTTGAATACATCTGATTTTCGTTTCCTGTAACTTTTCCAAAGGAAAATCTACCTGACTGAATTCTCTTGGGGGGGGGGGGGGGGGTAGGGGTGTTGCAGACTAGAAATAAAGTTTCTGTCAATGTCAGGCATGTATTTAGAGACTCCTAACTGATTCCTGAGAGGCCCTCTGAACCTGCAGATTGATGGGGGCTTAGGCTGCTTTTCGTACAAAGCCTCTATATCCACACACGAGCTAGATGGACCACTATGCTGTCTCTGTTTTTTTTTGTAGTGCTTCTTATTGGTACACTAATAGTCATCTCAGGAGTAGAGGGGTAGGAGACAGTCTCTGCTATTCTTTTCTCCATCTCTTTTGACTAGAAAAGGAAGAACTTGGGCTTTCCCAGAAGTTTGCTTAGATGCCTGAGCCTAGTTACTTAGCCTTTTGGACTTCTAGCTCCTGGGTTGAGTCTGTCGCCACCAAGTGCTCTTGGTGGGTGGGATGGAGTGAGCCTCATCATTTTGCCTGTGGTCACTTAGCTGACACAGAAGCAGCCAAGTGCAGGGGCTGGTTTGCACATCTCACCTAATCCCCCCTCAGAAGGGAAAAGTGGAGACGAGGAGACCTCAGCTCAGGTACAATCAGGGGCTATTTCGTTATTAACCTTGCAGACCTTTAAGACCAAGGTCCCAAACTGAGCTTGGTTTTCTCCATCTGTTCTCACTTCCATCTCAGAACAGAAGCCCCAGTATTGGCTCTTTTTCTTTAGCGAAAACCTACAGGTTACAGGCATTCTCAGGGGCTAAAGCTTCAGCCCACCTGGTATTTCTAGAAAGAGGGGAGGGGGTCTCTGAATCCATATTCTTGTCTCATGACAGCCGCTGGCTGCCAGGTAGCCCAATGACTGGACCTAAAGGATACTGTTAAACTAGGAACTGGAAAAGAGACTGCATCACTTCCCCTTCAAGGCCCGGATAAAGGGAAATATAGATATACATATCGCAAGTGCACATGTGCCATACACTGAGGATACCTTACAATCTAGTAAGGAAGTACAGATAGGCAATCAAAGAGATCATGCAAATAGAATATGGTAAATACCTTTGTATGTACATAGAGGGGTTTCATAAAGTACAACAGAACTGTACTTGCAAGAATGATCTAGAGAAAGGTTCAGAGCATGCCTAACTTTCCATCTATATTGAGGTCGTGGGAAATCTAGAGGTGGCTGTCTCTCTCTCTCTCTCTCTCTCTCTCTCTCTCTCTCTCTCTCTCTCTCTCTCTCTCTCTCTCTCTCTCTCTCTCTCTCTCACCCTCACCTCCTTGTATCAGGGGATTCCAGGAAAATAAGACTATGGGACCCCACCCAATTTCTCAGTTGAAGGAAATCACTCTACATTTTCTACCATGATTAGAAACAAGTGTGATTGGTGGGTTAAATATTCTGGTTAATAGCTACAATATATTCCATACTTGGCCTACTAATATTGATGTAGTTAAAACCCGGTAACATGCACAGAGTAATAAAGCTAGATTGAATGTAATAGACTTTCTTGTTGATGATTCAGAAAGAATCTGAGGTTCTCACAGGCCTCTAGGTCATCATTATAACCAGTAATGCCCATTGGACTGTAAACACAACAGGGCCAAATCATAGAATACTAGTTGAATAAGATATCTTGTTAACTATATGTCAACATGGGCTTCAAAAAGTTCATGGAAAACTCTAATAGCTTTTTAAATTCCATTTTCCTGGAACTTTTTGAAACCCCTTCCTATATAACTGTATGTTTTTGAACATAGTGTCATCCGGACACTATCTTGTTATTTGGAAGCATTTTTTTTTTTTTAAGTCAGTCTTCTGAGTGGCTGAGTAGAGAGGGATCAACTGAAGCAACCTACCCACCTCCC